AGAGAGAGAGAGAGAGAGAGAGAGAGAGAGAGAGACGGGCAAGGGGTGTAGAGAATATGGGGGCTCGCTTCCTCGAGGGCAGAGCGCGTAGCGCCTGTGGAACGAAGCATAGGCCGACCCGCAGCACACGCGTGCCGAACACGGCGGCCTAGTTCGGTTTTGCAGGGGCCCTCCCCCGCCGCGGCTCCGCTTCCAAAGACTCCCTGTGAGAGCGGGAGCGGAAAAAGATAACAGAGGGGTAACACCTCCCGAAACAAAAAACAAAATTAAAACCTTTTAACCATTACAACAAACTTCTATTGTTAATATTAATATCTAATGTCAATTTATGTCGCGAGATCCCCACCCCAACCACTCCAACAGCAAAATAAAAATGTAATATTCTGAAACGTTGACAGAATCTACGATACACGAGGCAACGACGTCATAAGAACAAGTTCAACCTGTTGCAATGTGCTACACTCATACATTAAATTTCAAGACAAAAAAGAAAAACTAGATAAAACACAAACTTTTGTAAAGATGAACCAACTTATTAAGAAAAGCATGTGTTAGTAAGGGTTGTGTAATTTATAAAACAAAACAAAACCATTTACTAATGCATCAAATATATGATGAGACTACTAGACAACATTAACACGGTGTGGAAGCCAGAGAGGGAACAAACATAAACTATGACTGGGAGTGCGGGTGAGCCTGCTGCGTGCGTGCGAGTGCCTAAGCAATACTAGTGCTGTCACCAGCACAACAGAACATAATGTGAGTGTGTTTTTTTGTCATACTCGCTGTCGGACGACCAAACAGACCGCACGTCCACGACATGTGGCCACAAATCACGCTGCTGATGAAAAACAAAAATCAACGACAGCAAAGTTACATTTAATTTCTGCTTTCCTGCGACACCGTCGTTTACTCAGTAACTCCCCATTTGTTTAGGGCGAAACTAGTTTCACCGGGCTCATCCACGTGATCCGCGAACCCTTGTCTCACGCAAGTGACGGATCGGGTAGGAACAGGTTTAAAACCCCTTCCACCCCCACCCCATCCTTCCCCAACGAGGCCGTGGGGAGAGACAGAGGCGGGGGCGGGGCTGAGCGCGACGCTAGCGAGGCAAGAAGGGATACATTTTGTGCTGGAGTTGGCAGTCAGTCTGATTGTGTGTGACAGGCGGCTGGGCCCAGCCCGCCCCCTCCCCTCCCTCCCTTCCCCGTTCGGACCGCGGCCGCTCCGCCTTGTTCAACATTTTCCCTCTTATTTCTCTTCTCTCGTTTTTTTTCCACCCGCAGTCGCCACAATTGTCTCCCTTGTTACATTTTTCTAGAGCGCGCTGCAGGGGGGCCCCCCATTCTCCCAGGAGGAAAAAGGGGACGACAGCCACAGGGGGTAGAGAGCGAGAGAGAAGGAGAGAGAAAGAAACACGAGGCTGGTCAGCCTGCGACTGACACCTACAGCGATCGGACGCGCTTCGTCGGGTATTTCGGAAGTCTTCAATTTCTACATTGGTTGAAAATGGAAGAAAAACTCTGCAGGAACGTGAATGAGCGGATGAATTAAATCAGGGGATGCCATGATGAACTATGTACAGTTTCGACCAGAGTCAATTATTACCACCACCGTTACACTGTACGAGAAATTTATCAGAAGAATATAGAGCCATCGTTAGCACTGCACCGTAAAAACAACTGTTCAAATCAGCTACACAGGCCCCACCCCTCCCCCTCCTGTGTTAAGGAGTGCTAACGAATTGTGATTGCTTTTGTGCCTTTAAAGGCATTTACGTGCTCTAAGGATGCCAAATTTGGCACGCTTATAGGAGTGCCTGCATGTAAAAAAGCATGCTTTGTTTGGACACTAAACCGACAGGACCTTTCAAAGATGCTGATTAGGATCTTTGTTTTTTCAGTGAGCGTTAGTGATTTCGAGCGTGTTCGACATTTCGTGGCTCGTTCGACTGACAAACTTCTCATACAGAAATGAGTCTCCCCTTTTGCAAGCTTTGCAAGCCATGCGGTGGCCATGCGGTGCGCCGTACTTGGGGATGCTCGAGCCTCGTGCTCACCCCGGACCGCCAGCAGGACCATGTGCGTGTCGGTGCCGCGGTCGTTGTCCACCGTCAGGTGGTACGTCCGGGCGTCCACCAGGTCGGCGTTCCGGACGTGCAGCTTGGCCTCGTAGCAGTCCTCGCGCTCCTCCTGAAACAAAGA